CAGTTTTATAACTGATAAAACTTACACATGCATTGCAGTATCAATTAGAACAAAAATGAGTAGTAGTAATAGTTCCAGAGTTGAAATTGATATACTGTAGGGGAAAAATATTAAATGAAGGACTATGTGTTTTTAAAAAGCAGATATGATGGCATCACTACTTTCAGTAGAATTGATTGAAATCATGTGACTTCTAAGTGCTGTAACATAATTAGATTCAGGTTCATTATCAGTGTAAAGAAGTTAAAAAAAAACTATGTCGTATTCAGATAATGCGGTTAACAATGTAGTTTCACTCCATTCCTGCACATAAAAGTGATATAATAATTGATACTAGAAAATAAGAGAATAAAAGAATTATGAAAAGAAAGATCCAAGAAAAATGATGAAAACATTATGAAGGAAAAAAAAGGATGATTGTTTTACAGAATAGAAAGAATTGTTGGTGAAGATTGAAAGATTATTGGAAAGGAAAAAAAAAATCAGAAGAAGAAAATAACTAGACTACAGCCATAAAGAACATAACTTAACATTACAGCTAACGGGGAAACATGAAACAGGAAGATTTGATGTCTGTGGGGAAATTAAAACGAAGTACAGAATTAGTGTGAAGTCTTGAACAGATAAAAAGAACTGTATAATATATATATTTTAAGGCAAAATGATTGTGGTATAAGCTATAAGTCTGTTTTTGTAATTTATTGACATCTGGATTAGTTAAATTAATATAGTATTTTCTTTTTTATCTAAAAAGTTTTTCCAGGTCCACACTACTCACTGGGCGGTGGAGGTAATGCATTACATTGCTGTTTGTCAGCCGGCAGTAGAATCAAGAAGACGAAGATTTGGACTTTTGAAATCCCAGGGACAGTTTTTATACACAATTTTCTTGTTAAATTCACTTTCACTGGCCCAACTATTGAACCAGTACATTTTGAGCTTGTTGAGGGGTGGGTTGTGTACAGCTGCAGTGCCTTGTTCGACCAGCGGCAGCAGTAACCAATGAAGGTGATTGTCAAATGTGTAGTCAGTTTATCAAGAAATAGCCAACTTTGAAGGCACTTAACCAATGAATTACCATGATAAACATAAGTCCAAACAGTTGGACCCTGAACTTAAAAAGTCTCCTCTAAAATGAAAAGCAGAAAAACCGCCGGTGATGCAAAGCAATCAGGACATGAATGTAAGCATTTGTCAGGCTGATTGAAGTAAACCAGTCAGTTGGGGAAATCATCTGCAACACCTTTCTGGTGGTCAGCATACAAAAGGCATGACTTTAAGATATGCATTCAAGCCTCTGAGATCCAGAATTTGCTAAAGGTAAGATGTCTTAAAGGACAAGAAAATACCTGGAACATAAAAGCCTTTGATCCTGCAGGGGTACAATCCAATGGCACAATCCTGGAGCGATGCCACTGCTTTCAGATAGTCATGGATGACAATCATTCAGACCCAGAGATACTGGACAAGGCTAGTTATCTTTAATTAATTTGTTTTACTTTCTAAATATATTAAACATTTTATGCATTGATGGGTTTGATTGCTTTTTTTTTTTTTTAGAAATGCAAGAGTCGGATATATACACTGTATGTCTTGGTGGCCTAGTGATATGGACATTGCACTTGGATCTCAGAAGTTTTGAGTTCAAGCCCCACCCACACAGACTGCCAATCACGTTCCCTGAGCAAGACCCTTAACCCCACGCTGCTTCCCAAAGGGATGGTTAAACGAAGAGGGTGAATTTCGTTGCTTTTTAGTACATTGCTGTTTTGTGACAATGTAAGACAATAAAGTCGAATTCTGTTGTGTAACAGACTATTTATTTGGTAATTAGATGTAATTAGATAATTAGATATTGTGATATCCTAATTGGACCACCTATCAAGTTTATCTTTACCCTTAACCCCACACTTCTCCCTGGGCGCCGCACAATGGCAGCCGAGCAGTGGGCATCCTAAGGGGATGGGTTAAATGCAGAGAAGTAATTTCCCTCTGGGATTATTAGAGTATATAAATAAATGAAATAAAAATAAAAATACCAGCACTATATCATCTGGAAGGCCTGTGGTCATGGTGAAAAGGGCATCTTTCACAGCCAGGGTCCTCTGCATCAGGACTTCTAGTGTTTGTAATAAAGTTCCATAAGGACAATCTGCTTGGAGAATGTCCAGAGCAGATTGTCTGCTTTGTGGCCATTCAGTATTCATTAAGGAATCGCTATTCTCTTTGAAGTATTTCACTCCCAGCTTGGTGCACAGAGTATTTAGCTCATTTATGGGGATTTTGTAACTCTCTTCAAAGCATCGAAAAATGAATTCCACTTTGTAGAGGTTGGTACCAGGAGCTTTCTTCTACTGACTTCCTCTACTGCCTCTGATGCGCTGGTGGATCTACTTGCTTTTGTCCAAAGAGCTGAGCATTTTGCTGTGCTGCTCCTGTAAACAACCTTAATGTCCGCATTAGATGTTAAATGTTTTTCCACAT